GTCCCAGAGGGCAGCCACTGCTGGCCTGTTTTGTTCAGACCTGCCTCATTTGCCTGTACAGTTATTGTTTCTTGTGTTTCATTTTCCAAATTTTGAATTAGTCATCACCGTTTAGAAATCGGGTGATTTCCCCATACACGAGTCCATATCCCCAGATTCTCTGGGAAATGTGCAACAGCTGGAAGTGAACCTTGGGCCTGCACTCGCACATGTTGGGCAGGTGCTCGCCCAGCCAGCACGGCGCCGGCAGCCCGCTCTGTCCCCACTGGGGACCTGGCCAGCTGCATCCTCACCCCCATGTGCTGGACTCTGAGGCTCCAGAGGTGAGGTCAGTCCCTGATTCCAGAGAGGGTCACGTGTGTATGGCATTTCCCCCTTCCTGACCTGCATTGCCTTTGCTACGTGAAGCTGATCTCTAAAGTAGGGTTTCTCACCCTTTGACCATTGGTATCTGGGGCCAAGTACTTCATCATGGGGGTGCTGTCCTGTGTCTTATTAAGATGCCCAGGGACAAAGCTGATCCCCAACTACTAAATACTAGTGTGGTACCCCCTCAGACGTAGTGGAAAATGTCTCAGCATTGTGCAGTGTTCTTTGGGAGGAGGCCAAAATCATCGCTGTTGGAAATCACTGATCTCATGGTTCATGGACACCAGTGAAGAAAATACCATTTGAAACTTAAGTACTCTGGAATTTGCTTAGCTCCTGATTGCAGATTTGATCAGGTCAGGGGTCCAGTCATTAATGTCCCTGCCACCCACTCTGGGCTTGGCTTGGAGAATGCTGGTAGTACTAAGGGACAGCTGCATGCAGGTTTACCCTGCACACCAGGCTGTGAGCAAGGGTTTGTGCACCTTTATGGGAATCCGACACCAAGAGGCAGCTGAGTAGCCAGCCTCTTCATACTGCCCCCGAGATGTCATTAACCAAGCACCCAGTTGTTCTTTAATTAAAAGCTACTGCTCTTGGCCAGTCAGTGTTTAATTGTCCTATGTATAATTGCTTTAATTATAAAAACAATCCATTTCAAGCTTAGTAATTTCAGTATCCAGATTCATACTTAATTATGCACTTTGTAATTAGCAGAGGTTGATGCTATATGCTGATACTCATTCCCTCTATTTCAAAATCTCAGCAGAGGAGGTTCAGCATTCAAAAGAGAGACCCTGGCCCATGAGTAGTATACCTGGCCAGTAGAATTTGTCATGGGGCCTCCTCTCTGAACCCCCTTGTAGAGTAGGAATGGCTTAGAAACAAGCCAGGGGAGGAGTAACCACAGCACAGCTCCTGGGTTCCAAGGACTTCGTGACAGACTCCTCCTTTGTCCTCATTCACTGAATCCCCGAGGAGCTCCAGCAGTGAGAGTCGTGCAAGCTGACCTTGGTTGTTAGAAAATGCTCCACATCACCTTTGAGGGAAGATGTATCCCTTTGATTGTAGGGGATTTCAGGGAGGCTGCCCAAACATTTGCATAACAAGAATGAGTTTAGTGGCAAAGAAAACTTCCCTGCTCCAAAATACCTTTAGGATCACAGTCTGAAATTTATCTGTTTCCCATTTGAATTCAAAATTTGAAATCTCTTTAAAATACTGTCTAATAGGGCCTTCTTCATAACTATTGCTCATGAACTCTCCAATTTTACTAGTTTATTAGATGACGAATTGGTACTCAGCAAGGCCCGGTAGGAATTGGACATCAGGCAGATATGCTTTGGTGTTATTTGGAATACAGATGGGAGATGGGATCCAAGTTTAATAACTCATTCATTGGTCCAGTAGTTACTGGGTGCTGCATTAGGGGGACTCCTGCAGCCAGCAAGAGGACGAAGTCTGTTTCCTACTGCTGGATTCCCTAGGAATTAACTGAATGACTATAATAATAAACAAAATGGAGACATGGGGCACAACTTTTATGCCCCATAGGAAAGAAAAGAGCTGGAAGGCCCTGCAGTCCCCTGGGCAGGGCGAGGGGTGTGTGTGTGTGTGTGTGTGTGTGTGTGTGTGTCTGGCCATATGTGCTCTGCAATCTGATGTTTATGTCTTAGCTACACGGATTGTGTTCATTTCTGGAATGACGGGGATTACCAGATTTGCAAACAGTTCAGTCAAGCTCTGGCTTAAATGGTTGTAATGCTATTAAGATTCTTGAACCCTGTGTCAGCTTCTTCTGCTATTTAGAAAATGGCATCAAAGCTCACCTCCTGGGTTGTCTTCATAGTCAGTGAGCCAAGGCTTGTTTTCATTTTAGCATTCACTAAGCTCCTTGGGCATTTCCTGAAGTAATTGCACCAAAGGGATGGAAAGCAAGGTCATTATACTCAGCATTATTCTTAAGCTAAGCTGTGGGAGGACAAGTGGCCTAGGGCCAGCCACCCTCTGCAGGGCCCTCTCCCTGGTGATTGAGGAGGATTAGTGGAAGTGTATAAAATGCTGAGCCCAGTTGCATTTGCAGAAGTGAAAGCCTCCAACCCAAAGCAGAGTTTGCCTTGGGTAGCAGTGGCCCTGCACCGCTTAGGACCTAGAGATGGCACCTGCATTCTTTACCTGGGGAGCAGCAGATTGCTTTGAAGGAAAAGCCAGGCCTTCACAAGAGAACCTGTGTGGCCAAAGAATGGCTTTGCCTTTTTTTTCCTCTCCTCTCCAGAGGAGAGAGGTGACAGAGTCCCCAGCTTCAGGCACCAGAATAGACAAGGGATAAGCAACTTCATAGATGGTTGTGTTTCAAAATGTGGCGTTTTGGAACTCGGACCAGTTTCTTCCAGAATCAGTCCTATCAATGGTGACAGTAGGTTAGGAAAGACCTCAGAAGTGCATTTGGTTCCTAACATAGACACTAATTCCAGCCACATCACTGTGAGTTACATAGAATTGATCCAGATATTAGTAATTACAGTATGACTTCCATAGGAACAAGGAAAGAACATTCTTCTTGCAGCTAAAGTTACTCAGCATGCATTGCCCTCCCCATCTATTGTCAGCAGGGTAGGGACACCTCCTGTCCTCCCTTAGTGACTGCCTCCTGGACCAGTGCAGAGAGGGAAGTCACGGAGCCACAAGCATGTTCCCAGTCTCCAGGACAGGGAAGGAGTAGGTTTGTGTTCTCATGTCGGAGCTGTTGAAACTGAATACATGTGCACAGCCGTGGCATGGCCCAGGCATGGCTGAACTGAGAACAAAACATCTCGGGGCAGCATAAGCTACAGCTGAGGCCACCTGGAGACTTTCTGGATCATTTTCCTTAATTAGCATCATTTGTTGCTCTGAGGTTTCCTGCGTTTTCTATTCAACTCCTTGCTTGTTCTGATTAAATACGGGCTTCCCAGGGTCAGTTGGTAGCCGGCTAGCAGAGTTACGAACTCCGCAGAGGATTTTAGTCCTCCTGGAGCCCTAGAGATCATGCTGTGTGTCTCATTCCTTTGGGCCTTCACTGTGCACCCATTTGTGGAATTGGGAACCCAACACTGTCTGGTCCCAGAAGGCAGGGCCTGACTTCCAAGACTCCAGCTGTTGGGGCACTGGGAGGAGGACCTATATCTCGATCAGTCCACAAGGCCAACCCACTGGCCTTTATACACTTGTCTGATGACAGAGCTATTCGCCAGTGTGACAAGCTGGCTTGCAAGGCAGGCCAGGCTCCTCATTGGACATTTCAGGTAGAAATTAGGCAGCCAGGGATGAGCTGAGGAGGGATGGCTGCTCTGGAAATATAGTTGGCTAGAAAATAATCATTTTATTGATTGCCCATTATAGGCAACAGTATGGTTTAGATCTAAACTGTCCACCAAAAGTCTCTCTGGTGGGTTTGGAAGGTGACTGAGTCATGGGGGCGTTATAACTCACCAGTAGATTCAGAACCCAAATATGCTGTCAGGATGTGCAGCCTGGTTGGAAGTTGGTCACTAGCGGTGTGAACCAGAAAGATGTACTCTTGTCACAGCTCCACCCTTTTCTCTGTACTTCCTACCCACCATGACAAGCAGCTTTTCTCCTTCAGGCCCTTCTGTTTGTGGTTGCTGCCTTGGAGCTGACTGAGCATGGACTGAACCCACTGACAGTGTGAGCCAGAATGAACTGCCTTCCTTTCAATCATAGGCCCAGTCCATGTGGGCTGCTTCAGGATTCCTCAGCCCCCAGACACTCTTATTAGATGTGATCAGCTTCCATGGCCCAGATGGGGAAACTAAGGTTAAATAACATCCGTAAAATTCTAGTAAATAAATGCTTGAGCCAGAATATGAACTCAGGGTGGCCTGATCCGAAGTTTATTGGTTTTATCTCACACATAGCCAATTCATTTTTTCTACTGAAGATAGAAAGTGGCACAAGTTACGTCGGAGTCACTCACAGAGGTGGCTCTTCCCACTGGTGACAGGCCAGGCCTTGGAAGAAATGATGGAGGAGTGGGATTGGCCCCGGAGGACTTTAAAACAGAGAAGGGAGAGACCTGTGCTTGAGGCCTGGTAACATACTCAGCTCTGCCCTTCCTCGATCTTCCGGTCCTCACGCCGCTGCTTCAAGTGCACATTGCTGACTGTGTTTCTTTCCGCGCTAGTGGGAAATTTATGAATCCCCATCAGTGTATTCACCTTTAAATATCCCGTCAGCTCAGTGAAACAAAAAGATTGGGACAGCCTTTCTTTACTGCTTGGAAAATTACGACTTCCCTGTGTAATTTCACATCCATGAACCTGCTTTAGCCAGCAGCACCCGAGGTCCATGGAAGCCTCCTGTTCCCCACCCGTGTTCCCTCCAGAGGCCATTAAGTCAGGTGAGCAGCCACACCACTGTGGCCTGTGACAGCACTTCTCCCTGTGACAGCATTGAAGCCAGCCCCCAGACCCCTCACCACCTGGCCTGCACCCAGGGTTCGCTCAGGGTGGCAGGGTGGTGGTAGGAGAAGCAGCTCCTGCCTTCTTGGACGTGGCTGCTGGGAGGTCCTGGCATGTGCGGAGCACAGAAAGCTTAGTCCCCCTCTTCTCCCTCCCCCTTGTTGTTCACAGCCTCCTGCTGGGTGGGCTTGGAGAGGCCTTGCTGGTTTTCTCAGCGCGGAAGGGCTCCTGATGACAGTGTTCAAGGAAGGAGACTCAGGAGTGGAGACTGTCAAGACTGGCCTGGACTCCCTGCTGGAGCACTGAAAAGACCTCGAGGACAAGAGGACTGAGCCCTGCCTGCGCCTTGACCAAGCTGCATGTTGCAAAGACACAGCTGCTTCCGTAGGCTTTGGGGAGAACTTTCTCAGGGTGTCCAGCTGCCACAGAGGGATGGCTGGCGTTATGTCATCCCTCAGAGACTCTGGGCTGTGCCGCACCCAGCTCTGCAGACAGGAAGTGCAGGATTTCACCAGTACAGCTCCGTGCACCTTGGTCCACCCTCAGGCCTTGGTATACTAAACGCCCCCACCAACCCTGCTTTGTGTCTGCCTGCTCTCTGCCTCTCATCACAGGTAAAAATGTTCAGTGTGACCTTTATACAACATAACCTCAGCTTGCTTTCATTCTTTCCAGGATGGCGGACTCTCTGTAGACTGACAATGGAACAGGAAGCCTTATTCTTTTGCCCCACAACACTCTCTAACCCCTGAGATGCAGCAAGTGGCATCTGCCCAGATGTCACCTCGGCCTGTCTTTCCTGCTGTCCTTAATAGCACATGCCTCGTCCTCAGCCTCCAGAGAAGGACCGAAGCCCAGACTCATTCCAGGCAGGAGGACTGACCCCAAAACCTTGTGCCAGGAAGTTTTAGACCCTTTTGGCCTTAAGGATCTCTGGCGAGGGTGTTTGGGGCTCTGCTTTGTTTTCTGTCACATTCCAGGGTCTTGCTATTTCTTACCTCTACCTCGTCCTGTTTCTTTCTGTCTCTGTTTGTAGCCATTTGTTCTCAAGCTGTCACCACTGTCTTTTTTAGGTCCAGGTTCACACACGCGGCCCTGAACGTTGGGGTCTGTGAGGTGGGCTCCCCAGATCCTGCAGTCCTGGCAGCCCTCATAAGCTGGGACTGGGTAATGCTTCAGTTGCCCTTAGGTCCTCAATCCCTGGGCCCAAGTCAAGCCCAGGATGTTTTTGTTTGTACAAAGTCAGGAAAGACTGCTTTCTGTCCAGAAAGGCCCAGTTCACTATGGCTGGGTAGTTTTACTGATCTGCTGTGGGTACAGAGAAAAGTAAACCATTTTTTTCCTAGATAATTTGCTTTTTTTCTCTTCAGCTTTGGAGGTGGGCATGGGAGGAGAATCACAGTAAAGGTTGTTGCTATTCCTGGAGAGGGAATTCTTTGTATCTTTGTGTGTGTGTGTGTGTGTGTGTGTGTGTGCATGAGCATGCATGTGATATAGGGCCTTTGCACTGAACTACATCCCCAACCCTTTTATAATTTTATTTTTGTTTTGAGATAGGGCCTCAGTAAATTGCTAAGTTCCCAAGCTGGGTTCAAACTTGCAGCCCTTCTGCCTCAGCCTCCCAGAGTGCTGGGATTACAGAGCTGTACCACCACACCTGGAAATCTTGTATCTTTCCCAGACGCCTCCTTCTGCCACACCCAGGCCTCTTTCCACTCAGTAGTAAAGGGCCCATGCGGCTCCTTCCTAACCTAGTCTGTCCATGGAGTTCCCACAAGGACCAAATCATTGTCAAATGAGAATTACAGGCTGTAAGTGTGAAAATACTCTTAATTTTGAAGACTTCATTAAAAAATGTAACATACCATATTTTTATATTGATCAAACTTTAATATCTGACATATCAACTATAAATTCCATGAAATGTATATTCTCGAAGTTCAGTTCTTTTTTCCTTTTATAATTCAGCCACTGGAAGTTTCAGTGTTTGCTGGGGTGTGCATGGTCTCTGTTGGTGAGTGTGAATTCATACCAGCTCCTCCGGCCCAGGAACTGGCAAAGGAGGTGTGTGGGTGGCAGCTGCTGGGGTGCCGACCTGGCAGTGATACCTACAGCCGCTGGGGTTTACTATGTTCCAAGCACTCCCTGCGCTGCGGCTTTGATTCTTCCCCCTGGGTGCAGTGACTTCTCTCATTTCCCAAGCAGATCTGAGAGATTTGGTAACTTTCCGGGATCGCCTACCAGGGACTCAAACTCTGGCCTTCCAGTCTTCGCTATAGAGTTCTGCTGCAGAGGCTGGGATCCAGCTCAGCGGCATAGCGCCTGCCCAGCAGATGTGAAGTTTAGAGTTCAATTCCTGGTACAAAATAAATAAATAAATAAATAAATAAATAAATAAATAAATAAAGAGTTCTGCTGTAGAGACCGAAGCCCTGACACATGATAGGGAACTGCAGTGGTCCACTCAGCGCAGAGCTGGGTCTCTTGACTCCCTGGGGTCATGGGGACTTCCTGCCAAAGACCATGTTCCCTTCTGTTGTCTGAGAGCCAGGTCTGTGCCCATGTGTCCATGTGCCCATTCATTTCACCCCAGCCTCCCTCAGCTCGTGTCTGAGATCCCCTGACAGCTGGGGAACCCAGAAACCCTCAGGAGTGACTCTGCCCATCCCAAACTGTTCCCCTGAGCTTCCAGGACAAGCTGAACTCACAGGCTGGGATGTTGATGGTTGAATGGGGATTGAAGGGAAGCCCGGGAGAGGTCACCTGTGGTGTGGAAGGGGGCGCTGGCCCAGAAGCGCCTGACCTGCAGGCAGGCACAGTGCTGCGAGTGCTCAGGAGTGTGGGGAACACAAGGCTTTATTGAGCATGCCCTTGGACAAAGTGCTGAGGAACGCGGATCTTCAGAAAGCTCCAGTGGTAGGGCTGACTCTGGCCTTTCCATTCTTGCTCTAGAGAAAGCTGTCGAAGGAATAAGGCCCTTGGCCTTTCCCCAGCCCTACCCAGCACCCTGCAGGCTCCAAGTGCCCTTGCTGAGCACAGCTGGGAGTCTCCAAAGATGCCCCCTGTCACTCTTCTCTGGAGTCTGGCTGGCTCTTTGACTCTCTGGAGTCTGGCTGGCTCTTTGACGCGCTGGAAACAGTGCCGTGTGACTTCTGAGTGCAGGTCCAGAGCAGTGTCTGGGAGCTGTGAGGCCAGGCCCTGGTGCCCAAGCAGCCTTGCAGCCATCCATCACTGCCCTGCACCCTCTGGACCAGGTGGATGCCACCAAGAGACATCCGTCACTGCCATGTGGGGCAGAGGGCTCACCCAGCTGAGGGAATCACTGAGCACAAAATCATGAGATGTGGCAAAATTACCTCGAGTGCCCATGGTTTTGGACAATCTGTTACATAGCAGAAGAAACTAGAGCGATGAGCCTTGTGGGATGGCATTTGCCTTCATCCCAGACGTGCTCAAGGAGCTGAGGTGGGAGAATCTTTTGAGCCTTGAGCCTGTGAAACCAAAACCAACCTGGGCAACACAATGAGAACCCCATTTTACAAAAAGAGAAAGAAAATAAAGGGAGGAAGGTGGGGGCTTAGAGCAGAGGCCCCCAGCCTTGCTTACTGTGCAAGATGCCAGGATAAAAGCGCTGTTCTCTGAGGCCCTTGATTCTGCTCCTCGCAGGTGGATCCAGTCTGCATCTCCAGCCCTTCCCCTGCGTGCACTTTTCCTCCAGGAGCAGCGGTCCCTATTCAGTGACCTCCTGACCTCCATGCCCCTGCCATGGGCTGGCCCAACCCTTCTTGCAGGAGGACAAGGGGGGGCATGATTAAAGGACCTCATCTGCAGATTCATTCTCAAGATGTGGCGAAGCAGGCTTGGTTTTAGGGTCTGGAGACATTAACCTTCCTGAGCGTGCTTTCTTGTGGCAGAGATTCACAAGGAGAAGAAACAATAGAATTTCAGAGCCAGTAAAGTGCTGTAAAGAAAATAAAGCAGGGAAGGGAAACAAAGATGACTCTCGAGGATCCAGCAAAAGCTGAAGGTTTTTACCTCCTGAGGTTTTTACACCTGTGTGTGATGTAGCACATAATTTGGAGGGATTTATGGCCCCTAAAGTCTGTCTGCTGGGCCTCAGTGGGCCATGGATCCAGGGCTCGCACATCTGCCCTAGGAAGCCCTTTCCTGCTGGCTCCGTGAGGAGGAGGCCAATCAGCATGAGCAGGCCAGGTGCAGGCCATGCTGGCCTTGGATGCGTAGGCCCTGCCTGTGAGCTGCTCATTCTGGCCAAGGAGAGGAGGTGAGCGGACTTGATGTGGATCTCCTGGTTAATAGCAGTGGGAGTCAGCAGGGCTGCAGAGAGGAGCCGTCCTTTCAAGGCCTCACCAGGGGCAGGCTGCCTGGGCTCTGAGTTCCAACCACATGGAGCCCCAGGTGGAGGACTCATCTCCAGCCTCACTTTCTGGGGGAGGTAAGGAACTTCCTTGGGGTCCTGGGCAGGATAGAGGGATGTGAGGATGTGAAGGCAGCATCTGTCCTGCATCTCCGACCTCTCCACCTCCTGGGCAAGGAGTGGGCGGTGGGGAGGTGATGTGGGGCTCAGGGACCAAGACTGGAGGGAGGTGGCTGGCTAGGGGTGGGGGTGGGGATGAGGGAAAGACGCCATGTGTGAGCGTCTGCGGTGTGCCAGTCCCTGGCAGGAGTCCCCTCTACCTTCTGGGTCCATTCCTGTGGACTGTGCTGATGGCACAGAAAAGCTGCTCGCAGTCACCCACTGCCAGGCCATTTTCCATCCTGGCTGCCCTGGCACCTTCCTGCACGCCAAACCTGTTGGTTTCTGAACCCCACCCTGCTGGTTCTGGATAAATTGGGGGAGCAACCGCTTATCTGGACCTTGGCCACTGGCTGAGCAGCTGAGGGATCTCTGGACTGGGCAGTGGACCCCAGAAGTGGGGTCATGGACACCTTGCCCAGCAGGCAGCCTTACCCTGCCCCCGGGACCCAAGGGCCCTGTGCTCAGTGGGTGCTGTTTCAGGGTGGCCTGCGCTGGTTTCTGCTTAGTAAAACACACTGCCCAGGCTCTGGGGCCAGCTGGTAGGGTTGGGAGCATTGCTGGAGCCACCCCTCTGCCTAGCCACTGAGGGCAAAATCTCATTTAAATGATCGCCTGTGCCAAAGGAGACATTGGAGTTACTGATTTCCTGCCTGTACTGTGAGTGACACATAGGGCTGGCAAAGGCAAGGCCTCTGCCCATTTGTCATCTTGACTTCCAGCCTTGGGGACAGAGAAGGAGCCCTAAGACCCAGCACAGGCCAGGCTTGTAGCCTGGGCCAGGTGATTTGCACAAGTGAATGTCAGAGTCCCTCATTGAGCTCCTCATCCCTCCTGCATACACTCAGCTGCATGCACTGGGCACTTTGTCCTAGAGCCTGTGCTGGAGAGTCTTATAATGGGATGGCAATATGTGCTTTTCAAGGGTTCACATCCTTTCAGCCAACGCCACCTCCTCTGGCTATCACATAGCTACCTTTCTACCTGGGGACCTGGAACCATAGGGGTGGCATAAGGGACCTTAGCACCCAAAGGGGTGTGGGAGTAGGGGTGTGGCCAGGTTTAAATTTTGCTTTTCAGCCAGTGCCCTTGTGCGGTCTGCAATGACGTCTGGGTGCGTGACAGCCTTGCAGCATGGACTGTGCTTCCAGGGTCCAGGGGACTGGGTTCCCCTTAAGTGGTGAAGCTAGACGGGGAGAGGAGGTGTGGCCACTGCTATAAGGTACACTGCTTTAAGTGTCAGCTGCCAGCAGCTGCAGCTTCTCACTAAGGGACTTGAGGATGCGAAGGAGTCAGACTCTGTGTGTGTATGTTTCTACTTATCAAATATCTAAAGAAATGACTCATTGCCCTCCCCAGTAGAGGGACAGTATGGACCTGGGACTTGGCCTTAAAGTTGACTTGCTGATAGTAGATTCGTGGGCGCTCAGGCAGGAGGAAGAGGACCAGGAGACAGCACAGGGCCCCAAGAGCTGCCAGCCTGAAGGTCTCCAGCCATAGCCACAGCCTAGATGTTTCAGTGGACACAGGTTAGAACATTTGTGGCTCTGTCTACTTTCTTCAGACAGCCAGACTTGAGCTCAAAGAGCAAGTCTGTGGCCTGGCTTCTTGAGGCTCTTGTCCTGCTCGCTCTCCTGCTGTGTTCTGGGGAACCTCAGAGGGACACAGAATGCCTAAGTCATGAGGTTCAGGATGGTGAAGCCTGCGTGCTCAGCTGGTCACCAGGGAGTCTCAGGGCTTCTCCTCCTGCCTGGGGTCTTGATCGTGAAAAGGGTCTTGCCGTACAGAGGGCAGAAGCTGATAACAGAGATGGGCCTGTTCTCCACCTTTCCCGAGTCCATGCTGTCAGCAAAGGCCCTGTTTCCTCGCCATCTGGACTTGGGCCAGTCTTGTGACTTGCTTTCCCCCATGATTGTAATGGAAGTGACGCTGGTGATTTGGAGGCTATGCCTTAAGCAGCCTTTACATTCCACTTGCTCTTTTCGACTTTCGCTTTGACAAAGTCTCTTTTTTGAACCCAGCTTTAGAAAGATTCCTCTGAACTTTTGTCTTGATCAGGCCTTGACCTTGGTCTACTAGCCCAGTTCACTGAGAACTTTGGCCAACATGCCAGGTGTGGTGGTGCAGTCCTGTAATCCCAGCACTCAGAAAGCTGAGGCAGGAGGATCGCCGCTGGCTTAAGACCAGCCAAATAGGAGACCAGCTTACACTACAAAGCAAGATCCTGTCCCCCCCCCCAAAAAAAAACCTAGAAAGTAAATTTAGAATGACTCTCCCCTAACCAACTGTCCTCTTGGTGGTTTTCCATCCACTAATCCCTTTATCCTGCTCCTTGCCTAGAAATCCCATCGTCTCTGGGGTTCCCTGAAGGCAGCTCAGTCTCTGTCCTCTGTTGCAGTAGTGGGGACCTCTGGTGCCAGGTGGTGGGTGAAAGGATGGTGGGGGTGAGCTGAGTCCTGGGGAGCTGCTGTCTCCACCAGCAAGTCTCAGCTGACTGCAGTCACATGTGCAAACCTGGTTGAGGTCAGCAGAACTTCCCAGCTGCCCCCAAGCCTCAGGAGAAATCAGAACTGACTGGTTTGGTTTGCAGCGTTGTTGTGGCACTAGGTGACAGATAACAGAGGAGAAGAGGTAGCAGAAGCGGAGCAGGCGGCCTTTGACAGTGCTCCATCTGTGCTGAGAGTGTGTACTACAGGGTTCCCAGAGCAGCTGCGGAGGACGGGGCCCCTTCTAGCTGAGTAGTGGGGATTGAACCAAAGGCCTTGCTCATGCCAAGCACACGTCCTGCCACCAAGCTGCCTCCCCAGCCAGGCCTGTGTCTTTAGCTGCCATCTGGGAAGGGGAGGCAGGGGGAGGGTTTTGCAGCTGCAGTG